TTCCATAGTGATTCAGATGGTCCACAATTATAATGAGCTAATGAGATTCCCTTATACTACTTGAGTAAACGTGAAATACAGTCTGCGAACCAATACCAGTATATATGTCTGGGTTACTGATTGCTTGTTCTTAAGTAACATAAACCAGTGGACTTAATTTTCTTAGTTCATACCATAGTTTTCTTAGTGACCTTACTTAAACGTATTTGGGGACAAACCTTTGGAAGAAAAAAATTATTAAAATAATTTTGAATTACTTACAGCATATAAAAGAAGAGCTACATTCTGATCTCAATCCATGCAGCCAGCTCTCATCAATGAGAGCTATATTTGGGGGTTGAAATCAGTGTTCTGGCTCTTAAACGTGATTATTGTGTGGGAGGTAAATAAAGCCAAGATAAAGGACAATAATTTCATTCAGAATAAAGTGTAGCTCAACAGATGAAATTTTCAGTTAATACAGGATGGGTTGGTACACATATACACTATATCCACTCGTTTAAAAAAATTGCTTAGGTGTTGAAAAATTGCTGTGGCACTTCCTGGAAAGTAATTTTTAATACAGGTAAATGGGTGAGTCTTGTGTAAAGTCATGAAGAGCACCTTGGAAAATGCTTGAATTTTCCTTTCAAACATATTTATAACCAATCTTCAAATAATATTTTTCCCAGACTGAATATTTGTATTCTAAATACTTTTTAGAAAAAAATGTTTTTCCCCCTCATGGAATTAAAACATCTGTAAAAGTCAGGTTTCTACTGGAAGTACTGACATGGTTTTAAGGGTAGCAATTGCAAAAGTGCTACTAAAATATATTATTACAGATGTATTTTTATATCAGTTAACTGGTGCACCAACCCCTCTGAAATAGTGCTAAAGAAGAAGCATAAAATATAACACCTTGAGTCTGAGATATATTTTGGGAAAAAAATCTCTCACAATCTTTAAATTAGCATGAAAAGCTAAAACACCAAGATTTCCATAGCAAAGCCATTGGGTGAAGCCTCCCACTCAATAGTGACATAAAAGTAATTCCAGAAACTTTGTAAAGTCAATAAAAATATATGGTATAATAGGTGAAGATGGGATTGTAACTAGCTTAGAATAACCAATTAAAATTCTCCCATGGCTTTGATATGGCAACTAAAAACTGTAGGGTTACCACAAAATTTGAAATTATAAAATACTATAGCAACTCTTAAGAAATATTATGACACTGTATATTTTAGGTTTAGATAATGAGATTTGACCCATTAATGGTATCATTTAATATTCAGTTATCCAATAAATGATATATTTCTACTTGTAC